TGCTATGACCAGCTGCAAAGCTGGTAACAGAGACGTCTCGGTTGACGTTTCTGTGTAGTATGGGGCTAGCCCAACCGAGGGGATATAATGTATAGGCCTGGTGGGTTCAGGGTCTTTCATCTTACATCTGCCTGTGAGCAGTTTGGAGGTGCAAGATACCTGAGCGTGTAATGTTAATTTTACCTGTGATCCTTTGAATAAACCAGCACTGTTTTGTAGTTACTTGGACTGTCTCGTCTCTCAGAGTCAGTATGGTAAAAAGTACCGGGTACAACAAGCTCTTCACCGTTTTGACCACAGGCTTCGCAGCTTTATGTTTCTGCCTGTAGGTTGAAATAAGATGGGCCATACAGTGACCTGACAGTGACTGTAATCAGATGCATTTCTTTATGTATATCTAGTCAGAGTCCAAGGTGATGTTTTTTTAAAGCCCAAAGAGGTGCAGCTAAATGCGAGTGGCACCGAGTTCAGAAACTAGACCAAGGTTTTCTTCACAAATAACTGAACAACTCCATCAAAGTCAACAGATTTCATCCAGCACATTCTGTGGAGAACACACATATGTGCACTGTAATGATCGTTAAATCAGCAAAAAAAGGACATCGCTCTCGATCAGAGAAAAAAAAGGTGAAAGGATGGGAAAAACTGCCAGATAAAGGTACAGTATGTTTGCATGACTAATTCCAATATTTAACTTTTGTGACAATCCACAGAGCAGGCATAAAAAATACTGTCCACCTTGCCAGTCTTTGGCAAAAGTTGGCCTTTGTTATTGTCTTGGTGATTTCTAGTTGGAAAAATATGTTTTATTAGACCAGCAGCACACAGACCAAGTCGCCAGTGAAAGGTATTTCCCAGTTCTTTTAACCAGGAACTCAGAGAGACGAAGCGGACCACTTGGATATATAAAAAAAAACCGTGCTGGTTTATTCAAAGAACCACAGGTAAAATTAACATTACAGGTCCAGGCATCTTCCACCTCCAATACTGCGCGCAGGCAGATGAAGCATGAAAGACCCTGAACCCAACAGGCCTGTACATTATATCAGGTTTGGGCTAACCCCATTCTACACAGGGACGTCAAACCGTGGCGTCACCTGATATGCCAGCTATGCAGCTGACCGCAGCAGTAGTCAAAACATGGAGAAAATCAATGTGTGCGAGTGTTGATTTTGTGGTGTGTATCTAAGAACATACAGGACATTCAGTGACATGTCCGGACAGTAAGCCTCGGAAGATATTATGATTAAGATTACGGCTAAACATATCATACAATAGCCACTTTCTATCTAGTTATCCTGGAACATAAACAACCTTGAGTAACTCCTGGAAATGAGTAAGCATTTAACAGCCTAAGCTAGACATCCTGTCTACACTAAAGACATTTCTAATACAACAAGTACCTGACCAATTTCTATCTGACTAAAAAAATACCTAACACCAGCTTAGCGTTAAGCTATCAAGATAATTTTCCACATTTGCTGAAAAAACTGGCACTGATCTAACCCAGAAACACACACAAACGTCCCCGACTCTCATAAATGAGTGTGTATGTGAAGGCCTGGCTGTGCTGTCGCCTACAGTAAATCAACTACTATTCTGATAATGGTTTAGAGCAGCGTGGCGCCACGTCTCGCTGTCAGAGGGTTTACAAAGCAGCCAGTCAATCATTAGAGAAAATAATCCGTAGCTGCTCTTGGATCCAAACGAGTTCAGCAGAGCTGCACCAGCCACGTACTGCGTTTACATCAGTGCATGAGACAGGCTGGTAATGTGAACACACTGCACAGTAAAATGTTTTACTGCAGTGAGTAGCCTGCTAATACTTGTACTTAATGTTATTACTGCAGGGCTTTTTGTGACGGAGCAGGCGACTTGCACAGCGTGGTCTTAGTACTTTTACTGAAGTAAAGTATGTGAACACGTCCTCTACTACTGCTGCCAACATGCTTTGGTCATAAAACATCTTCTAGTTACATGCTCTAGTTTTAATCTGTATACCTCAGTTCACTCCTCAGGGTCAGCCCAGTGCTGCAGTCCAGCTCCGTCAGCTGCAATGGACAAGACCCTTGTTTCATTCTTCTGAGGGTCGTTGTCACCGATGATGATGATGATAATAATACTTGTGTAATACTGTGATATCCTCTGAGACGGTTATCGTACCACTGTTGCGACCCTAGGGTAGATATACTTTTGTAAATATACTGTTCTTTTTCCACTGTCTTTCCCACTTTAAATGCACATATTTTCCTTTCTCTTGCTGACCTATAAGCACATTGAATCAGATCAGCTGGTCAAACTTCAAGCATGTCTTAAAGACATAAAGGCCTGGATGACCTGTAACTTCTTACTTCTAAACTCTGACAAACCTGAAGTCATTGTGCTTGGGCCTGAAAACCTTAGAAATCTGCTGTCTAATCATATAGTTACTTTAGATGACATAGCTCTCGCCTCCAGTACTACTGTGAGGAACCTTGGACTCATCTTTGATTGTACCACAGACAGGTTCCTGGAAGTGTTTAAACTTGCTTGACCAGATAAACATGATTCAGTGAACCACAGCACAATTTAGTTCCACTGATTTGTCCCTGCTCTAACAATTGCCTTTTGTGCAGGCCAGGGAACAGGGTGCAGGCGACACACCTGTCAGACCACACCTAGGGAGACAACAGACAACATGGAAAGAGTTTACGTTACTGACTTGTCAACTCTCCAGCGTGTTCTGAGTCTGCCCCAGTGTCTCCTACCAGATGGAAGATGCATTAATTTTGGCTTTTAATTCAAGAAAGTGAATCTTGGTCTGCTCACATTCAACATGCTCAAGTGGCCAAAAAGAAAAAAGGAAAATTCAACTAAAAAATGTCCGGTACTCAGCTGAATCCCCCACTCCTGCCTTTTTGAAAATGCAGTGCAGACTGAATTTGCATTCTAATGTTGTATCTATCTAGGTGCATTGTGTTAAGCACACTGAATCGCCCTCGAGTATGAAAGGGTGCGACATAAACTTGGCTTGATTTATTTTGGGGTTTGGGGCTGTTGGTCATACAACGCACAGTTTACCAGGTCTGATCTGCCTCCCCACCAGGTGGAGATCAGCTGACAGCACTGCTCCTGTCTCACACAGGTGTTCTGGAACCGGGGGAACATGGTTTTTGTGATGGCCAGTCCACTAACAAGACCCCAGTCAGTTTCAGATCAGGGCGAGGTGACACAGATCTCAGAATTGCCTTCATTGGTTCTGGAAACTGCTCTTAGGCCCCAGCAGCAGTCAACCTTCAAAGTCTTCTTTCGTCTAAATCAGCTTACATGCACAATGATGCACTTGTCAGGTGGTACTCAGAAGTAAAAAGTACTGAAGCTTCAGTAAAAGTACTGCCTACAGCAAACATTTAGTTTCACTGTTGAATAAAAACATTCAGCTGTGGAAACTTTGCTCCAGCTCAAAGTGACACAGGTGAACAGATAGCAGCAGCTTGGTGTGCAGCTGATACGCCTGTCAGACTGCACCCAGGGCAAAAGACAAGGAAGTAGTGTTACTGACCTGCTGAATGGTGTGATCTCTTTCTGCTCAAAGAATAAATCTCTGAAAACACAAAGACAAACACACATCACTGCCAGGGATAGATCTGTTAACACTGCAACATTATGCATTCATGACAAACACAGAGGCAGATCAAAGTGTTCTACAAAGGCAAAGAAGAATTAACAGTAAAACAAAACACGGCAGGGCCTCTGTGCTGATGGACGCTACCACCTCTCAACTCTAACATTCTTGAATTTTTAGTCTGCTGTCTCGTGTGTGTGAAGTGTGAAGATGTTAGGTCAGCTGACTTTCTTGGTGGTTTCTGGGAATCTTTCACAAGCACTGTCCCTGATTCCCAGTAAAACACCTGTGGGAGTCGGATACATCTGACATGAGTTTGTTCACCGCCTTGGGATTATTACTGACACTGAAATACACACCACAACTACATAAAAAAACAGAACGTCGGAGCTGAAACCGGATTTGAGTCTGAAGTGTCATCAGAAAAAACAACCTTGCAGAGAGAGAGAGAGAGAGAGAAACAGGAGGCAAGTTTCTCAGTCGTCATCTCTTCTGCACACTGTGGGGTGACTGTGGTTCAGTGGGTAGAGCAGTTGGCTGCCTTGGTTCTGTACCGGAAACAAATTTCTTGTGTGTAACATACTTGGCCAAATAAAGGTGATTATCCTTACACTGTAATAAACTGTGTGTGAGCTCAGTGTAGACTGTCTGAAGATCACAACACGAAGATCACAACATTTCCAGGTGTGAAAGAGCTTCAGAAACATGACATATGCACTGTTACATTACCTGAACGTCGGGAAGAAGTAGTAGTACAGCACTCTGTGGGTTCAAACACATCAATAGTTAATAATCAATAATAACTTCAGAATTCAAATGCAGCAGCTGTGCCAGTCTGATCATGGGCAAAAACAAAATAAATATTCATTAGCATCGCTTTGTCATGAAGAAAACCAAACGAAGTGGAAGCAGATAAAACCTGTAGTTCATGTAGTGGTCAAAAACAAACAAGGTACCAGTCCAGAGGTCCAATCAGACCCCAACAACTACATTCACAAGCTGATTTATCAGCTTTACACAGTCTCTATGGGGTACTGGGAGTGTTGGCTGGGTAGCAGCCGCAAGGAGACAGCAGAGAGGCGTGTAAGACTGCGACCCTGCATCCTGGACTCAACTCTGGGTTGTCATAATTTAGGTTGTAAAACAAACTCGTCCAGATTTCTAGATAAGAGAGCCGCACCACCCAAAGTGGGATGGATGCCATCTCTGCTAATCAGACCAGGTTTTCCCCAAAATGTTTTCCAGTTGTCTATGAAGCCCACGTTATTTTCTGGGCACCACCTAGACAGCCAGCGGTTGAATGACGACATGCGGCTAAACATGTCATCACTGGTCACATTGGGTAGGGGTCCAGAGAAAACTACGGAGTCCGACATTGTTCTAGCAAAGTTACACACCGAGGGGGAAGCCATTGCTCTCAACTAAGCTATTAGCTTAGCTAACTTCTAAGCTAGCCAACCTAAAGTAGCAAGTTAAATTTGGCAATTAGCAAGAACTTCTGTAACACAGGTGCTTAAGTAGTGTGGGCGTATGTCATCAACTCAAAAAAATTTAGATAAATCTAGAAAATAGTGAGCTTAATCTGTAAAAAATTTGGTAGCAAGCACAACACGGTACAGGCACAGGAAGTGAGTACGATTACCACAGGAACCGGAAGCAGCAGTGCAGTAATGAACAAGCAAGGCCTTCCACTCCTGTTAAGGCAGAAAGTTCTTCCATCTCTGGGAGAGTGATGGCACCCTGTAAAAATGGCCAGTTGCTGATACTCGATTTCCATCCATATCATCTGTTAATGTGATGAGAGCTGCAACACCCTCTTCTGTAGTCATTTTATTAGCAGCAGAGGTCACGCTAAAGTACGGCCATTTATCACCCCCCCCCCCCCCAAACTTTCCGAGAACACCCCCACCACCTGCGCAAAAACACATTCTATAATGTTGTAACTGTCCGGCTAAATAAAGCTGATACCAATAGGAGGATCTTTAAAAGAAAAACAAACAAAAAAAAAAAAACATTACTTTCATGTGATACCAAGTAGACAGCACACAGTTTGTCTGATCTGTAGTGGCCATGTACTGGATACTGAAGAACTCGGAAGCTTCGATTCATGTTGCTTAGTAACCATTACGTATCCCTGGTAACAATAAGAATCGAACTTCCTGGCACTAATTGTCAGTAGGCTACTTCATTAAGTGCAGAACTAGTGCTTCAGTAGTAGTAATAGTAATAGTACTCACAACGGCAACACGACCAACAGCAGGCTCACCAGCAAAATTTTATTAACCAGCTGCATCTCACAGTCTGAGCTGGACCGGGACAGTCCAGATCCACAGGGTTGAGAATCCTTAGTCCACCAGATCCAGCGATACCAGATCCAGTACTGAGCTCAGCCTGAGGTCCAGCAGGTTTGAACCAATAGACAGCTCCTGCACGTCTGTAGGGAGTCGGTATTTGTTGGTCCTAATTAGTACTAGTCTTGTTCTCTGGAGCGTATTGTGGATCAGACAGATCCTTAATCGGTGTGAGAGTTTCAGGAAGCAGGAACAAGGATGAACAAGCAGAAGTGTCTACAGAAAGAGAGAGGGAGGGAGTGGTTAAAATAAACATCTCTGCACA